GTCTTCTTCCGAGGACGACCAGGCAAAGTCGCCGTCCGTGATCTCGACCACGGGAATATGCTGCGCGTGCACTGCTTGGTCCCGCGCCTCGAGACCGGCGAGGTGGAGAAATTTGCCGATGCGGTCGCACGACGTCTTGGCTTCTTGAACAAACAAGATTGCGTTGGAGAAGGTCATGCACGGCAGCCGCGCGACGTTCATATAGGCGAGGAGCGTGAACGCTCTCGATGGCGTAAGCGTGTAGCCCTGCGCCACATAGACGAGGAGGCAGAGCGCCAGCGACAGAATCGGCGCGATCGTGAGCGCAATCGTGTTGAAGAGGCGGCGGCTCTGGTACGTCTGCAGCCACCGAAGCTCGCTCAAGCGAATGCGATCGATAGCCGCTTCCATGTCCATCTCCCAGGCGTACATCTTGACGACACGGACGCCCTGGAGGAGCTCGTTTGTGAGCTTGACGCGCTCGGCTTGCACTTGCAGGAGCTCGTTGCGCGCGACGCCAACGTACTTGGCCGAGACGTGGCCCAGGTACAACATGAGAAACATGGTGCTGCCGCCGACGACACCGACGACGACGCCCATCTCAAACCCGATGAGAACGTAGAGCGCAAAGAGCGAAACGGGCGCCGCCACCACCCACGTGCCAAGCATGAAGCCCTGGAAGAGCCGCTCCGAGTCGACGGCCGCGAGCGTCACGACATCACCGGACGAGACGAGGTGGCGCGATGGCAGCGTGAGGCTCTTTTGGTACACGACGTCCATGACGATGGCTTTGGCGTGGCACCCCATCATGGACGTGACGTACTGGCCAAAGTCGATGATGGTGACCGAGAGAAACGAGAGGCCTGTGAGCAGCCCCGCGAGGCCGTAGCCGGACGAGATGCCAATCACAGTCGAGAGCGGGCCGGTCGCCGGGTCGTGCGCTAAGAACTGCAATAGCGAGTGGATGACCGCGGGTTGCGCGAGCATCGGGATCGCATACACGTTGTAGATGAAAAGCGATGCGTAGATCTCGCGGCGCAGCGTGGCCCAGATGACCTTGTGGAACTCGGGCTTGTCGCCGGCCGCGGCCCACGCGGCGGTGAAGCGGCGGTTGAGCGCGGCGGCCGTGTCGGCGTCGCGCACCGGCCAAATGTCCGCCTCGGCCAACGGCGAGATGGCGCCGCGGCGAATGAGGCCATCAAGCCACGCCATGAGAAAGATCGAAACGTAGCTTGAAGTGGCGAGCGGGTGCTGGACCGGCGTCGGCTTGGCTTCCTTGGCCACCGTGGGCGACCGGACCTCGCTGAATGTCGCGTCGTCTCTCGTGTTCATTCGAACGCTTTTTGGAAAATGAACTGAAAACCGCAGCGATAACGGTCTTGTCACGCTTGCCCAGTTACAGTGTACGGCGCAGTTCCGACCTTGGAGCTACGGCGCCTCCACCAGTCGTCGCCAGTACTTGGGCGCGCTTTCCAGATGCGTTCGGTGTTGAGAGGCAGGAACCCTGTTTTTAGCAGCAGTTCAAGCTCCCGGATTGGCCGCTTTTTGCGCTCAGCTGCTCAACTGCAAGCAGATCTGCAAAGATGCGAATGTCATGCGCCAATGTCTCTAGTGATGGCACTGCGTCACTGACAACTGATACCATTGTAGTCACGGGGCGCCCCCCGTCTGCCCCCGTATTTGAGGGCGGGGGTGTTCAAGCCTAATGCCGCATCGACGCCACAACGGAGGATGGGCCGCGACTCACGACAACTACCGTGCAACGAGGCCATTGAGTCTGTCGTGCGAGAGAACACCGCGCAATGTGAAATCTCCCTTTCACGCGTCATCGCTGTGACGTGGGTGCGACAGATCCCACCGCATTGGAATCCCAGTTCTCTGCCTACGGGGTCGAGATCTGGTCGCCGAGGGACTCGGCATGTGTCGACGACGAATCTGTGTCCCCACGCTGCACCCATACTTGACACGCTAACGAGTGGCGCATGCAACAGCTTGGGTCCTCGCACCTGCGGTTACGCTCAGAGTCACCCTCTGGGCTTGGGACGTGAGCAACTTGCAGCTTGCTGTGCCCCCTTGCGCACATTACGCATTGAGGAGGTTTTTCCTTCATGCACTTGAAATCTCTACCACAGCCTCAAATGCTACCCCGAGCCGGGATCCTTTGCGACTCGGTAGAGTAGCTTGCGCTCGATGCACTCTCAAG